GGGTGTGTTCTCGGGGGAACGATGGATGCTCTGTAAGCATTCTTGCTTGCTTGCCGTCTGCTCTAGTCCATTTTGCATTGCGGTAACAAGATACCCAAGGCTGTGCTTCATAAAGAAAACAAGTTTATTCGTCTCACAGTTCTGGAGGCAAGGAAATGAAAGATCAGGAGCCTGCAACTGGTAAGGGCTTTGTGCCTTACGACCTTGCGTGGATGGGAGTTATTACAAGATGCGAGTGTATATGATGGGGGGGGAGGGAGAGGGAGAGAGAGAGAGAGAGAGAGAGAGAGAGAGAGAGAGAGAGAGAGAGAGAGAATGAAGACTAATTAGTGTTATAACAACCTGCTCCTGTGGTAACCAATTCAGTCCTTTGAGACCTAACCCACCCTTATGAGATGGGCATTAATCTTTCCAAGGGTGATGCTTCCCCGTGATTTAAACATCTCCTAATAGGCTCACCTATTAAAGGTTCCAACCCCTCTCAGTATCATTATCTTGAGGACTAAGTCTCCAGCACATGAGCCTTTAGGGAACGAAATGTATCCACACCACAGCACTGTCTTAGGAACTCATTAAGATAAGTTACTAGGTGCAGAATCATGGGGGAAATGTGGGCTGATTTTCAATTTGGAGAGGTATTACTGAATTTTTCCTCAGTTACTCTCTCATCAGCAGAGTGTGGGAGTTCCCTTTCCTGAATACCCAGCCAACACTGGTTATAATTAATTTTTAAAAAAATCTTTGCTCATCTGCTAGCTGAAATATTGTTTTAATTTCCACTCGTGTTATTACTAGTGAGGTTGAACATTCTTTCCAATTTGTTTTTCTTCTCTAACTTCTTTGTGCATGCTCTTTGCAAATTCTTCCATTAGGGTAGATCCCCCCCCCCACTTCTGCTCCCTTTGATTTGCAAGAGCTATTTTTACGTTACAGATCTCCATCCATGGTTGATGGCAGATCAGTGTCCTGCTTGAGAGCTCAGTGCTATTCTGGATGAAGTTACCGAAACTTGGTCATTGTTCCATTGTCTCTGTGTTCCGTGTCCTCTTTTTCCCTTACTTCACCTACATCCCTCCAGGGATGGTTTGGAGAGGCAGTGTTGGAAGAAGCCCAGAGGACTGGATGACTTGGCAGAATGAAGTATCCAGGAATCCCGGGTGTACCAGGCTTTCTCTGGGGCCACCAACCAGCTCCCAAATCAAGACAAGGAGACTTCTGATTAGTTATGGATGCTCTCAGCCTTGGCTTAGCTGTTGTTTTAATCTGTTTCTCTTTATTTATGTTTGCCTCCGGACTTTTTACCTTTCGTTCCTCCCTCCCTCCCTCCCTCCCTCTCTCTTTCTCTCTCTCTCTTTCTGATGTCCCACTATCAATGCTTCTCCTGGCTGGCTGGCTGGTGCTGCCTGGCTTCTGGTTCTGGGTGTGTCCCTCTCTTTCTTCTTCGTTCTCTTCCTTCTTCTCTCCTTTTCCTAGATTTCTCCCCCTACTTATTCTCTCTGCCTGCCAGCCCCGCCCATCCTTTCTCTGCTTAGCTATTGACCACTCAGCTTTTTTTTTTTTCTTCTTGAGACAGGGTTTCTCTGTGTAGCTTTGGGCCTTTCCTGGAGCTCACTTGGTAGCCCAGGCTGGCCTCGAACTCACAGAGATCTGCCTGGCTCTGCCTCCCGAGTGCTGGGATTAACGGCATGCGCCACCACCGCCCAGTGACCACTCAGCTTTTTATTAGACCAATCAGGTGCCTTAGGCAGGCAAGGTGAAACAGATGCAACACATCTTTACATAATTAAATAAATGAAGCATAAACAAAAGTAGCACACCTTTACACAGCTAAAGTAACAATCCGCAGCACCCAGGAATCCTATGAGAAGAGTTAGCCAGTGTTTTGGAGGATGAATAGAGAGGTGCTCAGGGGCCACTGCTCTGCTTTGCAGGGTCGGGGAGAGAGATGTACTGATTATTTTCTTCAAAGGAATGTCCCTTTGAGTCTCATTCACCTTCTTTATCCTTCTTGGGAACTCTTTATTAAATCAGGTTAGCTAAGGTTTCACCTAGAGTTGTATTCTCTTAACAATTTTCTCTGCATTCCATTGGATTTAAAAAAAAAAAACAAACAAACACAAAAGGCTCATGTGACCTGACTGTTCACTGAGACAGGTCCATGAGGGGCAGGTTGCAAATGTTTTCCCTAATATGCTTTTATTTTAGTAAGTATATGACCTTAGGCCATCTAGGAATTTTCTTCCTTCCTTCCTTCCTTCCTTCCTTCCTTCCTTCCTTCCTTCCTTCCTTCCTTCCTTCCTTCCTTCCTTCCTTCCTTCCTTTC